TGAATAATATCTGGGGCAACTTTTATACCAAATGGAATTCTATTATTGTATTGAAATATGCCCTAGTTCCTTTCAGACCTGATAATATGATATTCATAACTTGTTGAAAAATGGCTGGGGTAACTTTTATACCAAATGGCGTTCTATTGATGAGTGTTTATTGTTAAATATTTTCCTGATTCTTTACTGATTTCAATTTGAAGGAGAGCATCAGAAAGGTCAATGATACTGAAAATTGTAGCATTTTGTGATTTTGAAACCTGATAACATGGTATCTATAACTTGTTGAAAATGGCTGGGGCAACTTTTATACCAAATGGCATTATATTATATTGAAATATGCCGTAGTTCCTCTCAGACCTGATAAATATGCCGTCAGTGGCGTAACTAAGGGCCCGCAGGGCCCGCAGTTGCGGGGGCTCGTGATCGTGGGGGCCCAGACCAGGCGAAAGTACTAAACTAATGACAAGAGTATTACTAAACTGAAAGAAAATACTACAACCTATGAACCTCATAACACATATCAACCATTAAAAAACTATGTTTGGTCTAAGCAATGTAAAAAATCTCAGAGAGAAATGTTCAGATATACTCACAGATGCCAAATTATCTGTCCGTTTTAAGTGATACCACTATTGTTATCTCCGAAACAGAAGGTATGAGGTCGGGTAAATTAAATAAAAATGGCAGATTTTAATATCCATTGGAGATAAGTTCACAGGGTTGCCAATTTTTTATTTGTTTCCGAGATATAAAGCCTTTGAGGTAAAATGTAAACACAACTAGATGCTGTGTGAAAATAACAAACGCCATTTTGTAGAGAAGAAAGAATCTTGGAACTTTTGCATTGAACACTTTTTTTCTAAAGTTGATAGATTTTGAAATATTCATTAAATAAGTTTTAAATGTTTTTTACATTTCCCTTATATGTATCTCGGAAACGTACAAAGATTTGGCAACCCTATGAATTAACCTTCAATGAATAATAAAATTTGCCACTTTTATCTAATTTAACCGACCCCGCCCCTCTTACCGTTTCGGAGATATCAATAGTGGTATCACTTAAAACGGACATTCTGTATAAAGAAAAATTTAAACAAATATATAAAAGATGAGCCCTGGGAAAATTCTTGCGAGGGGGCCCCGGATTTGAAGTTACGCCACTGACTCAAGGTGTTGTCCACGACTTGTTACAAGAAATGAGACTGACGGATCAGGAAGAGTATCTAACTACCTAATAGAATGTCCAGCAATACATTCCAAAATCTGCTAAAAATCATATCTAATTGTCAAGATGGTAGCGGTTTTCGGATTTGGTAATTTTGCAGTATACAGTGGCGGTCATTGGAATTGGTACAAATCTCGGTACAAATTTTTGAATGCACCTTGTATTGCATCCAACGATTTGACTTTTTAACAAGTTCATTGTTTTTAACAAACTTAGGCCCAATTGTACAAACCAGGTTCAAACAGAGACTCAGTTGAACTCTACTGGTACTTGAACCTTCCCATTTGAAATGCATTGCTGTCAGAAATATGCCAAAATATATATTTCTTGACAGCAATGCAATTCAAATGGTAAAGTTCAAATACCAGTAGAGTTCAACTAAACCTTTGTTTGAACCTGGACTGTACAACTGGACCTTAATGCCAAAATTGTGTCAGCTTTGGCTTTATACAAAGAGCGTTCAAAAATTTGTGCCAACTCCAATGGCCGCCACTGTACATAAAATATTCTCATATATTATTATCTAATCTCATATAATCTTATACAGGGTCTCCTATTTTCAAAACTCAAGTATCTGGCAACCCTAAGTAGGTTTGTCCGATCTGTATATAAATTTTCCATGATAAACTAGATGAAAAAAGTCATTGGTACATCATGAATTCATATGATGTGAACATATCTAGCATGGAACACACAAGTCCCCATAGCAAATTCACTACGGGGACTCAAGCCCCCATTGCCCCTATTGCCCCTATTGCCCCCATTGCTTCCATTGCCCCCATTGCCCCCATTGCCCCCATGGTTCCGCCGCCTATGCAAATTATACTTCATTAACACACAGGTTATGTCAATATCATGTCAAATTGATAAATCAGTGATGAATATCTTAGAGCAGGTAAAGCGCTGTCTTACGGACATCAGGAGTAGGAACGTATCATTCTGCTATAAAACTAAGTGGAGCCAGTTTTTAGCAAGTGTTCTTACACCAAATGACAGGTAGAGCATTGAATTAGCTATACCGCCATTATTTTGGATCTCAAAATACCTGGAAAAAAAGGCTTCAAATTCCAACTTCATGTTCCTACTCCTCCCACCTAGGAAACAGGGATTCATCAAACCAAGTAGCTTGAATTTTTTCTTGAATAGTTTACATAATAACAGTGGTGGCTATAGAATTTGGTCTTCATTAATATCAAAAAAGTACTATTTTTTAAAGAAAAATCAAGTAGTTAGCTTGAAAAACTTGATTTTCAAGTTACTTGATGTGTAACTACTTGACTTGACTTGAATTTCAAAAACAAATACTTGACTTGATATCAAGTCAAGTCAAGTCAATTAGCTTGAAAATCAAGTCAAGTCGTGAATCTCTGCTAGGAAATTACCTGCTCTAAGGTAAACATAATAGTTTTAATCTGGTTTTAATAAATTCTGTTGAAGAAAAAAATAATATCTGTATACCACTGCACTGAATAGATTTATTGGTTAGAATTTTGACTTAATACGAGATATGTTAAAAGAGTATAGTAGGTCTGTTTCTGCAAAGATTACAAACCAGTCAGAGCGAATTTCATTGATTGAAAACAGTCAGAAAACTAGTTTCAACCAATGAAATTCACTCTGACTGGTTTGTGATTTCTGCAGAAACAGACCTATTATATGCCAATTGCAATGATTCCCACTGTACATACACATTTTATATGCATTTACATCTACCCTATCACCTGAGCGTGAGGATACCTGACCATCCTGGTATATTATCGGGGATAATACCACGAGAGCTTCAAAATTACCGATAATTTTTCACGATTGCGTGTTTTCTATAATTTCACGAGTCCGTAGGACGAGTGAAATTTGCAGAGAAAACACGCATGAGTGAAAAATTATCTGGTTCATTTTAAAGCTCACGTGGTATTTAGAGGATTATTTCACGTATGAGAATGTAAAAAATATGGAAATAAATATGTATTATCCCATTTTGACATTTAAAAATGACATTATTGAACGCATAAGAATAAAGGTAAGCAGATGTTTATCACCTCAGTGATTTAAAGATTTTTTTAACTCACTCTCGGCATGTTAAGTCACTCTGTCCAATTAACTCTGACACCTCAGTGATTTAAAATATTTTTAACTCACTCTCAGCATTTTTTGTTGTACTTTATTTTTGGAATTTCTACGAAATGGGATAAAATTTTGTATACATCACGAGAGTTAAAATATTTATTCATTCGAAGAAAATTAACCCACTCGCTAGGGCTCGTGGGTTAAACTTTCTTCTCATGAATAAACAGTCATTTAACTCACTTGGTGTATAAATAACTATCAAACGATTTGAACATCTTAACAATCAATACAAATAAATGGTTGCTATCAGGAACCGTTTGTTTGTATCAAAAATTAGCATGACAACCATGTATACAATAACATGGGAGAATTATCGCTGTAATTCTGAAAATCGTCACTTGTCTTATGGGATTTCTAACACATGAGTGGAATAATCGGTTGTATTAACGGTAAATGTATATAAAATATATACATTTACACATTAAAGTACCTGTATCTCAAAAACGAATCATAGGATTGGTTCGGGCCCATGAGAACTTTCTATCAGGAAGTCAAGATCTAACACATCTCAAAATTTCATTGAGTTTGACAGAAAGCCAATAACCCATAAGAGGTGTGCCGGGTCCTAATAATATCACCAAGTTACATGAAACATTAGGTGCCAATTTGTGCTCTGCATTGCCAAGCAAAGACAAAAAAAACCTTTCCAAATTTTCCGAAACACTCCAACATACATACAAGTAGTGACTGTAGTTTCAAAAATTCGGAATTGTGACCTCGATGAATTGTTTGTAACACTTCAAAGGTATGTTTGTCGATTATATGGACTGACATCAATGTTCCTATTATTGCTATACATTTACGAAAGCATAATATTATGGTACCAAGGGTAACTCAAATCCACTCAATCTGAGAAAAAGAATTAATGGTTCATTGTTCTCGCCCTGTAAAGCAGAACTTCAGCAACATGTTTTACGCACGGCATACATCGCCCACCTTTGGAGCCATGCTCATTTCCCAATGCCAACCGACCTATTACCTACTGAGCATAGATGGGGAGAAAGCGATAACAAGTATATCTTCAAATGGTTTGTGGGAGATCAATTATCGCCAACCATCACTAGCATCTCCAGTCCAGTTGCAAAAAGTCAATTTTCGACTGTTATTTCCAAAGCTGAACTTATAGGGTGTATCACATGAAATCTGTTCAGAATTTTACGTAGAATCCAAATATGCAATCAAATACAGGATGTTTCATTTAAAATAAGCAAGTTCTTCTAAGTGCCACCATTTTGAAAATATTTTATCCCGTCCCCATTGACATTAGTATATTGTCAAATTTTCAAAAATTTTCTGCATACAATATTTCACATATACATAGATCAATGTGGTTCCCGCTGGGACACCTCGTATAGAGCGTAGAAGATCCCAATCCCCACTACAACAACATACAATTAAATTTACAAACAGACGTAAAAATACAGAAATAGAACTAAAAACAAGAATACAAATTGAAAATACCTTATAATTATAATGTTCCTCCTTATACTGTTAAGTTGCGTGATGACCTGTTCCCCTATTTAACTAAAAGCCAACGTTATTAAAATGATAATTTACATTTCAGGTTTAATACAATACTGAAAATTTCTTAGTTGCGTGCCCTCACTTTTCGTCAGCAAATCTAATAAGTTTTCTTGTTTATTTGCAGCCGGAAAAACTAAACGTGCACAAAAACGATTCGGAGAGCTGGGACTACACAATTTCTCTAGGTAAGTCGACAAACAACTTTTACCCAAAAAAAATACCCCATATATAAATATATATAAACCAAACACGGTAAACAATCGACCCTTATCCAGGCATATTACCATATACAGGTGTCCGGTCGCGTTGTATTCAACCCTAGCAAACTAATTATCCTTGTAATGGGGCAGTATAAGGATATGACGCTCTGGTGTCTGCGGTCCAGGCATTTGCCTAACAATACAGCTGCAAGGGATGTAGAGAGACATTGAAATGTACTTATAGAATTTCAAATTCGTATAAAGCCGCCTTGCTCTTATGCATGAATTCTTAAGCTTTAAAGAATTTTCCCTATAGGCGATTTTTGAATATAAGTATTCGATTTCGATAAAGCTTTTAGAGGGCTCGATGGTTTCTCTATACCTAGTTAATGTTTTGCTTTGTAATGTTGGTAAGGATTTGGTTTTTAGGTTCTTCTCTATTTGATCACTATAGATCTTTCCTTATCGAAATCTACTCCAGAAACATTTATAATATTGTATTCTATTCTAGCTCGAAGTCCAATCTCAAGATTCGTCTGAATGAAGAGTTAGTTTTTCTTTTTGACAGCCAAAGTTGTCTTCAATCACTTTGCAAGGTATGTCGACTGGCAAATGGCAAAACAAGTAGAGCCTCTGGAGTTGATTGTCTCGAGAATTGGTTGACCTCGGCGCTTCGCACCTCGGTCAACTATAGTATCTCTCGACAATAATGAAACACTTTCCACCTCCGCATGTAATATACTATATCCGGAAATACTTCGAATCTGAACCGTTACTGAGTCTTGAATTTTCTAATGATTCAAGTTGTTGGAGGGGTCAGTTGCACTGGAATCAAGGTTGATTGACATATTTTTGGCGATTTTTGTCAATTTTTCAGATTATTACCTTCATTAATATAAATGCTGAAAGGTAGCGGGTGCATTTGCCAATCCAAATGGCATTCGAAGGAATTCGTATTGTCTCTCCTGAGTCACAAATGCAGTTTTATCAATTGAATTTTTTGAAACTGGTATTTGCTCCTTGCTCCTTCTTTAGGTTAGTGATGTTTAACCGGAATATTGTCCAAAAGGGAGTTTCGGCAATAGTTACATTTCAATAAAACTCACCTCATAATGTATCATACATGTGTAAAGTTTAGAGAAATTGCGTAGTGCTAAAGAAAGTAGGCAAATCTATGTGATTGGCTTCTGGCACTAGGTCTTGATTTCCTTTAGGGAAATTTTCTAATGATTCAAGTTGTCCTTCTGCTCTAAGTTCGGTTTTCCTACTCAAAGCAGCCCCTCTAATCCTAGGTTCTTTAGGAATTTTAGAATATCTAGTAGTTCCAGGGTTGGAATTTCTTCCAACTGTATAAGGGGACTTTCCGGGTTTCTCATATTTAAGCGACTAATGGCATCACAGTTTAGTAGAAGATGGTGAGGTATTTCTTCTCCTTCTTCATAGAAATTCTTCAATTTTTGCAGAGATAAGAATTAATTAAGGACAAGAATTTTATATGTAAAAATAAAATGAGAAATTTCCAAGTAAAATAAGACTTCCCTATCTTTGGACGTATCTTTTTCATCCCTTCCTTTGTTAGTGTTTTTAAGAAGATGTAAAAGAAAAATTTTAGAACTTGGAAGAAATGTGATGATTTCCTTCTCAGACAGAAAATTGACATTTTTTTGATGATTTTTGTCAATTTTTCGGATTATTACCTCCATTAATACATATAAACGCTGAAAAGCAGCAAGTGCATTTGCCAAGCCAAGAGGCATTCGAAGGGATTCGTATTTTCCCTTCTTTTTTGAAACTGGTATTTGGTAATATCGCCCTGCTCTGTGCCAAGTCTAGGCTATATGTAATGTGTAAATTTAGGGAAATTGGGTATAGGGTATAGTGTTCGTCACCCCATGTAAACACCATGTGTTTTTTCGTTAAGACAGTTAAAGGTCTTGCTATCGTTGCAAAATCTCTAATGTATTTCCTGAAGTAACTAGCATGTCCTAAGAAATGCCGCACCGTGCGAACATCCGTTGGTACAGGAAACTTTTCTAGTGCCTCAGTTTTGCTTTTTTCCTGGTTGAACTCCCTGACTGGATATTTCATGGCCCAAGTAATCAACCATTTCCATGAAAAACTGGCACTTGGATAGCCTTAGCGTAAGACCAGCATCTCTCATCGGCTCGAGAATTTCTCTCAGATTTGACAATCCACTTTCAAAGATTGAGGATGGTAGCAGGACGTCATCCATATACGTCAATGCTTCGCCGTATCTAAGATTACCCAGTACTTTGTTTATAACCCTGACGAAAACTGAGGGTGCATTACACAAACCAAAGGGAACTCTCAGATATTCGTAGTGCCTATTTGGCGTTAAGAAACCATGTTTTTGGAATTGAAGTTGCAACTGGTGATATCCGCTACTGAAGTACATATTTACATCCCTTGAGGTTTTCTAAAAATTCGTCAACGCGTGAAAGAGGGTACCTATCCTTAACTGTCTTGGCGTTCAATGCCCTATAGTCCACACACATCCTCTGCTCTCCATATTTTTTTTTTTTTGGACTAGAAGAATTGGACTTGCGTAGGAATAGTCAGATTCCTGTATAATATTATTTTTCAGCAAATCATCAACAATGCCTTTTACAACTTGTCGTTCATTGTAAGAGAGGCGATATGGTCTATATACTACAGGTCGATTGTTATTTAGGTGAATCGCCATTTTTAAAATTTCTGTTTTGCCAAGCTGATTTGTAGTTTGAGCAAAATAATCAAGGGTTAGAATGTCTTATGACTGTATACGGGTTCAGCAGAAGATAGTGAGGTGTCTCTTCTCCGTCTTCATAGAAATTCTGCAATTTTTGTTTCTATTGGAATTATGATTTCAGAAGTAAGAATTAATTAAGGACAAGGTTTTCATATCTATGTAAAAACAAAATGTGAAATTTCTAAGTAAACTAAGACTTCCTCATCTTTGGTCATATCTCTTCCACCCTTTTCTTTGATGTAAAGGAAAAATTCTAGAACTTTGAAGAACATGATGATTTCCTTCTCAAAAAGAAAATTGACATTTTTGATGATTTTTCAGATTATTATCTCCATTAATATAAACGCTGAAAGGCAGCGGGTGCATTTGCCAATCCAAAAGGCATTCGAAGGAATTCGTATTGTCATTCCTGAGTCACAAATGCAGTTTTATCAATTGAATTTTTTGAAACTGGTATTTGCTCTTTCTTTAGGTTAGTGATTTTTTACCGGAATATGGTCCAAAAGGGAGTTTCGGCAATAGCTACATTTCAATAAAACTCACCTCATAATGTATCTATGTGTAAAGTTTAGAAAAATTGGGTATAGTGCTGAAGAAAGTAGACAATGCTATACTATGTGATTGGCTTCTGGCACATGATGTTGTTGAGCCTGATTCCTTCTTTCTTCTTATTGAAACTTGACCAAGGAATTTCTGCTGCAGTTTCCCTTGAAGTCTTGATGTGTTGGTTCAAAGCTTTGGACATTATATCTTTCTAACATTCTAAGAAATAATATTCATGAACACCTGAGATTTGGACCAAACATCAGAATAGAGATTGTAAAGAAATCCAGGAGTTTTTGGCAACATAGTTCTAGCCTGAAAAATGTTCCAGCCGGAGATAATTGAAATCCGAACCGTTACTGAGTCTGGATTTCCTTCAGAGAAGTTCTGTAATGATTCAAAAGCCAGTAATGATCAAAATTTGAACTATTCCCGGCTCTTGATTTCACCTGGTGATTTAAGCGCCGGTAATAAACAAAGTTTTGACCTGGGTCCTTATTCTTGAAACAGGGGCAGGGGAGCACCGTTGCCAGGAGAACGAGTGTTCCGTCTTTGTTACTTATATTATCATTTGCATATCATTGAGAAAGACAGAACACTCGTTCTCCTGGGAACGCTGCTCTTTAGTTTCAAGAATAAGGACTTAGAAAAAAAAAGAGCCAAAGATAATTCAAATCTGAACCGTTACTGAGTCTTGATTTCCTTTAGGGAAATTTTCTAATGATTTAAGTTGTCCTTCTGCTCTTAGTTCGGCTTTCCTGCTCAAAGCAGCCTCTTTAATTCTAGGTCCTTTAGGAATTTTAGGATATCAAGTGGTTCCAGAGTTGGAATGTCTTCCAACTGTATAAGGGGAGTTCTCAGATTTTTCATTTTTGAGCGACTAACGGCATAACAATTCAGTAGAAGATGGTGAGGTGTCTTTTCTCCGTCTTCATAGAAATTCTGCAATTTTTGTTCTTATTGGAATTATGATTCCAGAGATAAGACTTAATTAAGGACAAGGTTTTCATTATGTGATAACAAAATAAGAAATTTCCAAAAGAACTTAGACTTCCTCACCTTGGTCATACGTTTTTCACTCCTTCCTTTGCTATTGTTTTCAAAAAGATATAAAGGAAACATTTTAGAACTTTGAAGACACATGATGATTTTCTTCTCAGAAAGAAATTGACATCTTTTTGATGATTTGTGTCAATTTTCCAGCTTATTACCTTATTAACTTATAAGCGCTGAAAAGCAGCGGGCGCATTTACCAATCCAAAAGGCATTCGAAAAAATTCGTATTGTCCTTCCAGTAATGATCAAAATTTGAACTATTCCCGACTCTTGATTTCAAGTTTTCTGGTGATTCAAGCGCCAGTAATAATCAAAGTTTTAGCTTGAAAAATGTTTCAGCTGGAGATAATTCAAATCTGAACCGTTACTGTGTCTTGATTTCCTTTTTTTTAATGATTCAAATCGTTGTAGATGTCAGTTGCACTGGGATCAAGGTTGATCTATTATACTCCTCCTTCTGCTCTAAGTTCGGTTTTCCTGCTCAAAGCAGCCCCTCTAGTCCTAGGTCTTTTAGGAATTTTAGGATGTTTAGTGGTTCCAGGGTTGAAATGTTTTCCAACTGTATAGGGGGACTTCCCAGGCAACTAACGGCTTCACAGTTTACTAGAAGATAGTGAGGTGTCTTTTCCGTCTTCAT